CACATATATATATATATATATATATATATATATATATATATATATATAAACTCCAAACAAAATTTCCATACCAAAACAACTCAAAATTTAACTCAATCTCTTACCTAACCCATTGTTTTACGATTTTATAGATACAAAAAATAATCATAGATATGCAATCTTATAAAATATATGTTGTTATATTAAATTCATTAAATAATTTTTGTATTTGTAAAATTCTAAGATAAAATCTTTCATTCTAAAAAGTCTGAATGTATTCGCAGTGTTAAGATGGCGTGGAGATTTTGTTTTTAGGTTAGACTAGATGTTTAATCTACGGAACTCCTTGATTTTTTCTTGAATATAAGAAAAATATTTAAATGTTGTTAATAAATTTTTTAATAAGAAAAATTAAATTACATGAAAGTTAATTTTACGGTTTTAAAAACAACATGGATGACTTGTAAAAATATAATTTGACTAAAAAATTTTCAAATGATGCTTTTTTTTTAATATTAAGATGATAATATTGAATTGGGTTTACCCGGGTTAGAATTGCTAATTTTGCAACCCGGGTTATGATACTATTATAACCCTATAAAAAGTAAATCAAAATAAATTATAAAATCTAATTCTCAATCAATCCAATATTTAAGGATGAAATTAAAAAAAAATCAATTAAAAAAATACCTAAAAAAACTAAATTAATCTGTCATGCCCGCAACTCAGGTTATAAGACATAGATAATTTTATTAAAAAATCAAAATAAATTATAAATTCTAATTCTTTATCAACACAATAATAAAGGATGAAATTAACAAAAAAAAATATCAATTAAAAAAACATAAAAAACAACTCAAGTAAAAATGAGTCAAGAAAACTTGGGTTAACCTATTAAATATTATTATCAGGTCATGAGATCCAGACAGGATAATAAAAAGGAAATCAAAATAAATAATAAAATCTAATTTCAAATCAAACACAGTATTAAATGATGAAATTGGAGAGGGGGGGAGTCAATTAAAAAAATTGAATCAATGAGGTTAATTTATCAAACACATGCCCTGGGTGATGAGATAGGGATGACCTAGTAAAAAATAAATTCAATATTGAAAAACTTGTGATTCAGGTCAAGAGATCGAGATAACTTCTTAGAAAAAACCAAGAAAAAAACCATTTGATTTAACTAGGATAAAAATATCAAAATTTGTGACCTTAATTATGAGATCAAGATATCAATCTAAAAAGACAAATCAAAACATATTATGAAACTTAATTTTCAACTAACCTAATGTTGAATGATAAAATTAAAAAAAAAATTAATTCAAAAAAAATATAAAAATGACCAAAGTTTACTTGGGTTAATCTGTTAAACATTATTATTGGATCATTAGGCCCAAATAACTTAATAAAAAACAAATAAAATAAATTATAAAGTTTAATTTTCAATCAATTCAATATTAAATATTAAAATAAAATACAAAATATTATTCTAATAAATAGTGCTACGTAAAAAGACTTTTTTTAGTTTTTTTGTTAATAAATAAAAAAATATTAAAAAATTAATTTTAATAATATTTTTAAATAAAAAATGACACTTTTTGTAATTGTCCCTTCATGGTCAATGAGATTTTGGACCATCTTCTGCATCAAAAAATTAAATCTACTTCTTGAATGAAAAAAAAAGAAGAAAAAAGCTCTTGATATTTAAAGTGCTATGCTACGATTGAATTACAAGTTATGTGTTGTTAATTATTTTATTTAATATCAAGAATATTTTTAATTGTAAACTTAAAATTTGACATGTGTGTATAATAAAATAAATTGATAATTATATACATTAATAAATATTAATAAATTATTAATAGTAACAAAATTAAATATTACATTGAAAAGTTACGAGATATAAATTAAGAAATTTATTTTATTTTTTATTTAATTATATATCAATATTTAATTAAGAAAAGTAATAATTTTAATTCTATTAAAACAAAGTAATTTAATAGTATAATCCCTCCTTTTCTTATTAATAGTTTTTTCATAAAAAATATAACTTTTTTTGTTCCATGTTCTTTGTTTAATAAAAACAAGAAAAAATAAGAATGAATATATATATAACGATTTTAAATAATAAGACATCTCTCTGATTATAGCGTTTTTATTTGACTAACACGCTATCTTTCTTTTCAAGCTTTTTTTATTAGAATATTTACTTTTTAGACAACACCTCATCAAAGCAAGTCCAAACCAGCGAAGGCAAGGAACTCCTAGAGAACATGTAATTAATTCTTATCAAAATCAAGTAAAATTAGTGAAAAATCTGGCAACCATCAAAGCAATAACCCAAAAGAGATTAGGACTCCCAAAATGTCAAGTGTAACGGGCAGCTGACTGTGATGTTCGCAGAGAAGACGATAATTCCCAGGAATCAATCTTCGCATGAAAGAAGAAACAGATGTCGAGCAAAACAAAGTGTTCTTTTATTTCCGGTTGTTTTCCAGATGACCCCCCTGAGGGTCAGGTGGGATCCTGTACTGGTTTCATTCGGGAATTGATGCATTTTGATGATTTCGACCAGTACAAGATAGATGATGAAGGCATTGCGTGGGCTTTCTTGCACAGCTTGTGAGTTTGAGAATGGAGGAAGTAAAGGCTGCCGTGAGGAGTTTATAAGTGTTGCAGATCTGACCAGTCATTTGTTGGCCCATCCATGCTTAGAGATGGGGATATGGTTGGTGTTCATTAATTGTTTTAATATTCAAGATCCACCAGACACTGAAGACAGTTTGAATATTGCCGGCACAAGGAACACTCGAGCAGCCTGAGCCGGGACAGTAATGCAACCACGCTCCGCTCTGTGAATCTGAACTTTAAACCAAAACCAAATGGGTTTAGACCCGACCTGAATCGTGGAGTAGTATCCAAAACCAAAAGCAGGGTTGATCATCATATATTTCTCCGCCATTAATATAATTTTACAACGCGCAATGTAAACTAGATATTAAGTTAATATAAATATGAAATCTTATCATAACTCAAACGCACATTTTAATATAAAAATTTAAATTAGAAATGTAAACTTAACAAATAATTTTATTTTAAATAAGTAATTGTTGAAAAAATATATTTGACAAAATATCAAAACAATATATATAATTGGATTGGAGTTTCTTGAAGGACAGGAACATGTTTTATTTTTTTTCCCCTGGTTTATGTATTGGGAAAAGAAGAATGTTCATCATACCTATCTTAAATCAAATGGGTATCCATCAAAATGGATAATTTTATCACATGTTGCTCTCTTCGCAATAAAAAGAAAATACATTTTAAAAAAACATATAGCAACGGGGTGAAGGCAAGAAATCATTATTTATTTATTTTTATTTTTATGTTGGAAATGGCTAGAAATTATCATGGTTGAAATTTGTTAGATTCCCAAGTTTTCTCAAGGACATGGTGAATGGCACATGCACCACCGGCAAAACCATGACTTTTTTTTTAATGGACAAATCAGAAAGGCAGAGTCTTTTTCCAAGTCAAGCAATAATTAAGCAAGTAGTCACGCACACTTCAGTCTTCATCGTAGGTCACAAGACTTCTGGCGTCTTTGGAGACCCACTTCAGTTTCTGTTCAGTGGAGGTGAGCAAGAATTCAGAGAGAGGCAGAGAATGGCAGAAACAAAAACTGTTCATTCGCCACTGGTTACTTATGCTTCAGTGCTCTCGCTTCTCACTCTCTGCCCTCCTTTTGTTATTCTACTGTGAGCCCTTTTTCTTTGCTTCTGGAATATGACAATTCTTGGTTTCTTTACTCTCTGTTTTTTTTTTTTTTTGGTTATCGGCTATTGTTTGGAAAAGAAAGCACCATAGATATACTAAATGAAGCTACTATCTTTTTTAAACTTTATCCGGGGTGTTTTAGATCTTAATAAACCTTTAGATTATTGCTTGTCAAAGTTCGATCTTTTTTAATGCAAGTTTATTAGTCTGCTTAAGAAATCCCAAGATTGCTGCTTTTTCTTTCTTCAACGAAATTCAGCGAAAAGACCGTTTTTACTACTGCAGTATTAAAAGCTATAAATCTTGATAAGTCTCAAGACGATAATGTATTGATTTTTTTTAGCATTGTGCTATTTTGATTAGTGTATGAGAAAATGCTTGGAAGAAAAAGGAGGGATAGATTCATTGATAGAATAAGTGGTTGTTAAAATTAGAATCTTCGAACTAATGCAGATGGTACACGATGGTGCATGCTGATGGGTCCGTATGTCAAACTTGGGATTTCTTGAAGCAACATGGCTTGCAAGGATTTATAAACATTTGGCCAAGGCCTACTGCAGTTGCCTGGAAAATTATTGCTTGTTATGCAGCATTTGAGGCTGCACTGCAGCTTCT